TTTCAAGTATTATTTTATTACCTTATTTTTTTTAGAAATGAAATAAAACTATCAAAAAGTGGTAGTGATATCATCTCACTGTTGATGCCTTAATGAGAAACATTTTGGTGAGCCAGTGAGGGTGAACTTCAGATAGGAAATGCTTACCCGAAGTAAGAGTGAGAAAATGAATAAAAGTAAATAGTTCATAAGATTTTTGACAAAGAAAAGGATGACTGGGTGCAAATGCCAAGAAAGCAAAAACTAGTGTTCATTCATGGCTTGGGTTTTTGAAAATTGATTTGATGAAAAGATAGAGGGACAGAAGATCTAAGGTTTGGCAGGAATGTTAGTAAAATAATAGATCATAAAATCTAAGCAGCATAATAAATGAAGAAATGAGGAACCCGAGGAAGTAAAAGCAGAGAGAGGATGGGTGGGGGGGTATCCCAATGAAACTGATGGATAGCTGTAGTGAGAGTAGCTGAATAATGAAGCTGAATCAAGAAACCTTAAAGTCTGAACATCATGGGCAGTAAGAAGGCAAAGTGAGTATGAAGAGAAATTGGTGAGACATCAAGCATAAGAGCAGAAAACAAAGATGAACGATAGCTGGATGCTACTGAGTCAGAATGAAGTAGAGGACGTAGAAGAGAACTTTCTAAAGTAATGAGAACATTTCTGCTTCTGGATGGGATGTAGCAGTGGTGGGTAGCAGTAGGGCATTTCCCCAGGATAGCAACTCAAGCTCTAGCTTCTGACAGCAAAGAAATCATCAACAAATGAAGAGAACCCACTCTATGGGAGGACCTATTTGCCAACTATCCATCCAATAAGGGGTTTATTTCCAAAATATATAAAGAATGTGCGCATCTCAACACCAGGAAAACAAACAACCCAATTAAAAACTGGGCAAAGGACCTGACTAGGCACTTCTCGAAAGAGGACATAAAGAAGGCCAAGAGACATGAAAACATGCTCAAAGTCACTATCAGAGAGATGCAAATGGAAACTACAATGCAGTACCATTTCACACCTGTTCAGAATGGCAATCATCAGCAAATGAACTGATGATAAGTGCTGGTAAGAATGTGGAGAAAAGGGAACCCTTGTTCTCTGCTGGTAGGAATGCAGACTGGTATAGCCACTATGGGAAACAGTATAGAATTTCCTCAAAATATTAAAAATGGAATTGCCTTTTGACCCAGCAATCCCAATTCTAGGAATATATCCTAAGATCCTGAAATATCAATCAGAAAGGATGTATGCACCTCTATGTTCATAGCAGTGTTATTTACAATAGCTAAGATCTGTAAACAGCCCAAGTGTCCATCAGTATTTGAGTGGGGGGGGGAGGGGGAAAGCTGTGGTACATTTACGCCATGAAATACTATGTGGCAGTAAAAAAAAAGGAAGCCTTACTATTTGTGATAGTATGGATGGACCCGGAGAATATTATGCTAAGTGAAATAAGCCAGTCAGAGAAAGACAATATCATATGATCTCATTAATATGTGGAATCTAGTGAACAAAATAAACTGATGAACAAAATGGAATCAGAAGCATGAATACATGGAATAGACTGCTGGTGCCCAGGGGGAGAGGGGCGATTATGCTTTATGCTGCTGGATAAAGAAGGTGAAGGAAATGGCTAAAGAACATATATGTATACCGCATGGACATGGACAATAATTTGGAAGGGGTAGGGGGGAAGAGAGAAGAGGGCAAAGGTGGAGAGGGAGACTCCTGCAATAATATCAACATTAAATTTTTTTAAATTAAATAAAAAGTATATGAATTTAAAAATACTAGAAGGTAAACTAAAAAGACTGATAATACCAAGTGTTGGCAAGGATATGGAACTCTTATTAATAAATGTTGAGAATGTAAACTGATAAAACCACTTTAGAAATCTGTTCAACAATATCTTGTGACTCATCAATTTTATTCCTCAGAATATACCCAGAGGAAATGAAGGCATATATTCACAAAAATACAATAACAAGAATATTCATTTCAGCTTTATTTATGACTAAAGACCCAGTGCATGAAATTTGTGCATGGGAATGGGGTCCCTCAGCCCAGCCTGCACCCTCTTGTAATCTGGGACCCCTTAAAGGATCTCTGACTGCCAGTTTAGGCCCAATTCCCCAGAAAGATCAGGCCTACACTGGCAGTCGGACATCTCTCTTGCAATCTTGGACCACTGGCTCCTAACCGCTCACCTGCCTGCTTGCCTGATTACCCCTAACAACTCTGCATGCCTGCCTCATGCCCCCTAACCACTCACCTGCCTGATCACCCCTAACTGCTCGCCTGTCTGCCTGATCACTCCTAACTGCCTCTGCCTCAGCCCCTGCCATTATGGCTTCTTCCAAAAGGACATCTGAAATGATGTCTGGAAGGTCGTTGGCTGTCTGGTCTAATTAGCATATTATGCTTCTGTTATAGATAGCTTCAAACTGAAATAAAAAAAGCCAAACTGGTATATCCATACAACGGAATACCATATAGCCATAAAAATATGACTCAATTATTGGAAAATATGAATGAATCTGAGGGACATTGTGCTGAACTAAAGAAGGCAGATGTGAAAGAGTACATGTTGTGTGATTCCATTTATATGAAGTTCAAGAACAGGAAAAACAAAGTTATGATTTTAAAAATAAGAATAATAGTTACCTTTCTGGGAGAGTTTTGGGGAAGGAGTTTGAGGAAATATTCAGGGTAATAAAAATGTTTTGTAACTTGATCAGAGAGGTATTGTATTCTGAAAGATCAAGTGAAAGAAATATCTATCAGTCCACAAAAAACAGAGTAGAGTTTGCTTTTTAACCCAATCTTCGTATCTTAATAAGGTTTATTTGCCATATAGATAATTATTTAGATCATTGATATATTTTATTTTATTTCTATCATTTTACATTACATTTTTGGTATTTCTTTGCTATGTTTTCATGCGGTATGTATATATTTTGTATCTTCTTTTTCTGAATTGAGCAACTTTCCCTTTTTAACCTTTGTTTTTTGGGAAACTCCTACTACTCATCTGTAGCCTTTAAATACACATATCTAGCCTGGCTGGTGTGGCTCAGTGGTCAAGCCTTGACCTATGAACCAGAAGGTCACGTTTTGATTCCCAGTCATGGCACATGCCCAGGTTTCAGGTTCGATTCCCATTAGTGGATGTGCAGGAGGTAATCTATTAATGATTCTCATAATTGATGTTTCTCTCGCTCCCTGTCCTTTCATCTCTAAAATCAATAAAAATATATTTTTTAAAGATACACATATCTAAATTTGTATTTTTATCAATGTAAAGAATGGGCAATAACAGACAACAGTCCTGTCCCCTTTATGAAAAATTTCCTTTACACAAGTTTTGTTGAACAAAAACTAGAATCTAGCTTTCCCCCCCCCTTCCTTATAACATGTCATTATTACTTTAAGAATCCTTTCTTTAAAATTACATTATGATTCACAACATCATTATGATTGAATTTAACTACATATTTTATTGTCTCAATCCAGCACTAATGTTTTTATATTTTGTCCTCCCCAATTCTGGCTGGAGTTATTTATATACTTGTTGAGTCTGTGAATGCCTGAACATGTCTTTTTTATGTATGAATATCACTTACCCAGGTATAAATTTCTAGTGTTATAATCCTTTTCCTTCTGAACATTGTTGCTTATCCTCAACAGAAAGTTGGTTGAGCCGAAACCGGTTTGGCTCAGTGGATAGAGAGTCGGCCTGCGGACCGAAAAGTCCCAGGTTCAATTCTGGTTAAGAGCATGTACCTTGGTTGCGGGCACATTCCCCAGTGGGGGCTGTGCAGGAGGCAGCTGATCAATGATTCTTTCTCATCAATGTTTCTAACTCTCTATCCCTCTCTCTCCCTCTCTGTAAAAATATCAATAAAATATATTAAAAAAAGGAAAAAAAAGTTGGTTGAAAGGAAGGTCTAGATTATTTGCTGATACATCATCTTTCCTTATTATTCAATATTATTTCTGCTTTCTATTATATATTTTCTATATAGTCAAGTTCCTATTTTATCACTACAAATACAGCATTCATTCCTATTTTAAATTTTCCTAGTATTATTTTCCCTTTTTATTTTTCAAATATATTTTTATTGATTTCAGAGAGGAAGGGAGAGGAAGAGAGAGATAGGAACATCAATGATGAGAAGGAATCATTGGTTGGCTGCCTCCTGCCCTCCACCCTTTTCCACTGGTCTCTGGAAATTTAATAGAAATAGTGTAATAATATATTTTCTCCTTCACAAAGAAAATCCATAGGTTCATTCAGCTGCACGTGGATTCTCACGACTCTCAAGATCACAGCAGGATATACTAACCGGTCTTCTTACAGTCCCATACTTTTTCTTTATATTACCACTTCCTCTGTTCCAGACTTTTTCCAATTTTATATATTGTTTTCTTTTGGGTTTTAATTGTAATAGCTACTTTCTGAGAAAGAGTAGTAATCAGAAAGCAGGTGCAGATTATTGAGACTGTCAGGGCAACTACTATATACATGTACTCAAGGATTCTTGTGTATTGATTAAGAATTATACTTGCTATTTAATAAGTCATATACAGTCATATGCTATTTAATGAGCATTTATTATGTGTCAATATGCTCAGTGTGGTATGTAGATATTCTAATTATCCCCTTAATAATTTTGCCCATTAAACAGAAAGGGAAACTAAAATTTTAGTGGGTTAAGTAACTTGTTTGATTCCACATAGCTAAACTGAGAGACTAAGTCTGCCAGATTCCAAAATGCTTTGCTCTTTCGCCCATACACCAGGCTTTCCAGAGCTGTCAGTGTGGACAGCTGTATCTGTATTAATGATGCTTTTTAAGTAAAAACTTTGCAATGCATTTACTGAGCAGTGACCACATCCTTTTTGTAAGATTGTGTTCTATTTAAGTCTCAAGACACCATTCATTTTTTATGTGCTTTTCAAAGCTCAAATGTGAACCTGATATTTCTCTCTCTGCATTTCAGTTTGATCCATTAACAATTGAAAGCAAAAAGGTAGCAACTGTGGTGCTAATGCTTAATTCTCCTGAAGAAGAAATTTTGGCCAAAGCATGTGAAGCCATTTATAAGTTTGCTTTAAAAGGTTTGGATTTTTTTTTTTTAAGTTGCTTAAAATATTTACTACATAAGGGGCACTCTTCTCCCCAATATTTTACTTACTTCTTATCAGATGAATTCTTTCAGACAACCAGAATATCATTTATTGCATCACCTGAAAGTAATGTATCTCCCTAAGTGCCTAACTTAATATTAAGGAGTAATTTTTTTCACTGGGAGAAGAGTCGTTTTGAAGACTTTATTGTTTAAAAAATTTTAATGACACAGGATCTGAAAGAGCTCACAGTGGTCAAAGCCAAACAATTTGAGCAACAAAATAAAGTAGTATTGGACTATGACCCAAAGTAGAACATAAGTATCCATGAGTATATTTCAATACATAAATGATTGGGTGAATTTATAAATGGAAGAGAAAAGATAAACCTCCCAAGTGGAAGAATTCTGAATAACTTATGTAGATACTATGCTCTCCAGGAGGCAAAATATAACTTCTTTAGATGTGGGCTGTGCCTAGTGACTTATTTCCAAAGAGTACAGTAAGGAAATAGGGAACAATTAATAAATTTATAGTTATAAACCTGGCAAAACTACTTCAGCCAAGTGATCAAAATCAACATCAGCAGTGATAAGTCATGCTGATAATCTTGTCAATAAGTCAAGATTACATTGACACAATGTAATGAAAATGGCACTTTATTTCTGTGTTGTTTTCCCCAAAAACCTATAACCCCAGTCTAATTATTATTTAAAAAGAATAAAATTCCCACTCAGGGACATTCTACAAATATGTAGCCAGAAATCCTGGGTACCTCCCACTGCCAAGAGGAGCTAAGGTATGTGATAAGAAATCTCATGGGGGAAATCCTAGATAAGATCCTGGAACAGAGAAAGAATATTGGGCTAAAATCAAGGAATTCTGAATAAACTATTGCTTTTAATTAATAATAACATCAATAATGGCTCAAATTGTATCAAATGTACCAAAATTGGTATAAAATATTAATAACAGAGGAAACTTGGTGTGGGATATGTGAGAACTCCCTGTATTATCTTTACAATTTTTCTATGAAAATAAAACTATTGTAAAAAAAGTTTATTAAAATATTGTAAATGTTACAAATCTAATTCTATTGAGAGATTTACTCATTGAGGACTTACAAACATAAAATATTATTATACTTTAACTCATTCCAATGGTGGTAAAATTAGATTTTTATTATACTGTATACCATTTTAATTTTGACTATTTGAAGAGTTTAGTGTATTTTTAACAAGATATTTTAAACTAAGGAACAATTTGATTTTAAATAAGTAATTGAACATTGGTTGAGATAGAACAAAAACAATATTCAATTAGCAAATGATAAAATACTCATCTCATTATGTCACTCTTGTCATCACTGGGAATCCAAACAAAATCCAGAGTGGTTCTGGAAGGTATAGTTTATGAACAGATTATATAGAATACTGGATCCATTTCATGGAGACATTGGATTATGCATCTATGGTAGCATAAGTCTTATTCAGCCTTATAGAATCATCATAATTCACCTGGCTGTCCTATGTACCTAATTACATATCATCTTTTATATAACATGAGATAAATAAATAGATAGGCATGTATTTTATGTTTAATCAATATAGAAGTTATTGTAAGTCTGGTGTTTTTACTAGCATTATTTTCTGAAATAGTGTCTAAGATAAATGATGGGACTTTGCTTTCTGGCCAAGATGGAGGAAGGGTCCAGATTTACCATCTAACCAAAATAACCAATAAAATAGACAAAATATATGAAGTAGCAGTTGGCAAAACATTGACTATGAGGCAATGAAGGACAGTGACCATTGAGAGACAGAAAACAAAGGAAAGAAGTGCTATGACTGCCAGAGCTTACTGACTTCAGAGTTTCCAGGCTTCAGCACAAGAAGGGGTAGCCTGTGCAGAGCCTATTGGACTCTCTGAATTGAGAAGTCAGATCTGAAAGTCCTGAGTTTTCAGCAGAGTTAACTGAGAGAGAACTCAGGAGATCTGTAAAGCATCCCAGTCAGGTATTGAGCTGAGTACTGATCAGCATGTACATGTGAGAGAATTGCTTGAAGTCAAAGAATCCAACAGGATTATTGGCAACAGTGCCTGGTGCTCACACAGGGCCAGAAATAGAGCTGACCAAAAACCTCAGGATGACTGGACCATTGTGCACAATACAGAGTCTTGGTAGTTAGAAATAATCTACCCTAGATTGAGCAGTGTTCTGAAAGATCTAAAAGGTTCAAATTGTTTCCAAGAAACTGTGTCCCAGAACAAATTTTTAGAATACAAACATATCTATTACTCAAGTAGGTAAAATGCACAATGTCTGACATCCAATAAAAAATTACTAGGCATGAAAAAGAAGCAGTAAAATATAACCCATAATGAAGATATAAATCAATAAATAAATTGAAAGTAAACCAATAGTGACTAGAATCTCTAAAAGAAATAAAGGAGGGGGGGATTGAAGAAATGATTGAAGAAATACCCCCAATTTGATGAAAACTCCAAACCCACAGATCTAAGAAGCTCACCAAAACTCAATCACTAGGGTATACACAAATGATGCCACATTAAAATATGGATCTACACAAAGAATAAAGGTAGAGTACTAGAAATAGTAACATTTAAGATATTTTTTTATTATTGAAATCGCTTAAAAAGCAAGTTGGTTATTTTAAACCAAAATAATAATCATATATTGTGGTCTGAAATATATGAATATGATATATGACAACAACAATGCCAAGGTAGAAATGGGAAAATGGAAGTATATTATTGTAAGGTTCTTGTATTACCACTTGAAAGTTGACTGTCAGAGGATGTATACTACAAACCCTAATACAAACAGTAAAATAACAGAACAAAAATATATCAAATAAGCTAATGAAGTAAATAAAATAGAAAAATAAGAAATATTTAGTTTATACAAAGAAGGGAAAAAGAAAAAGAATAATGGGGTATAGAAAAACAAATGACAAGATGGCAAATTTAACCCTATCAAAAATCAAATTGAATGTAAAATTGTCTAAGTACTTCAATTAATAGGGAGAGAATGTTATCTTGGATAAATAGCAAGACCAAACTACATGCCACCATCAAGTAATGCACTTAGAATATAATAACACAAATTATTTTAAAGTAAAAAGATGAAAAAAAAATCCTATGATAATACCAAACAAAAGAAATATTTATTTTATTTTTAAAATAAAAGAGCACATTTATTAATATAATAAAAGTAGACAGAAAAGATAGTACAGAGGTAAAGAAAGTCATTTTATAATGATAAAGGAATCAATTAATCAAGAGGCTATGAAAAATCCTAAATAGTCATTACTTAATGTCACATCTTTAAAATACATGAAACTAGAAATTCAAGGAGAAATAGATAGCCACAATTGTTGTTGAGGATTTTGATGCCCACCTCCCAATTAATGAAAAAAAAAATAGTAAATCATTATAAGACTAAAAGATTGAAGCAGCAATATCAATTAATTTAACCTAATTGATGGTTATAGACCACTACAAAAATAGCAGGATATACATTCTTCTCAAGTGTATAGAGAACATTTTTCAAATAAATCATATTGTGGGCCATCAACTAGCCTTAATCAATTTAAAAGAATTCCAATGATAAAAAAAATATGCCATGCCACAACAGAATTAAATAAAAAATCAATAGCACAAATAACTCGAGATCATCATGCAATAGAAAATAAATAACATACTCCTATGAATGTTGATTAATTTTATAACTAACTAAGCAATCATTCAATTAATTATGTCATCACATAACTGGCACTGTGCTAGGCACTGAGTAAGGATATGAGGGAATAGAACAGAAAGGGTATCTGTACTCATGGAAAGTTAAGTTATAGCAGAGTAAGCAAACCGTGCAGAAAGGCCCTTCAGTGGTATATATTTTCAGAGGAAAATAAAGCAGGAGAAAGAGAGATAAGGAAGACTTGGAGGTGGTGACAACATCGGACAGACAGGGGAAGGAGACCTCTCAGGAGGCTCAGGGAGAGCTGAGAACTGAATGGCAAGAGGAAGCCAGCTTGATAAACATGGGGGAAGGAAGAGCAGCAGACAGCAAAGATACCTGTGCTCAAAAATTGAGTCTGGGAGAAAGGCATCTGGAAGGAGAGAAATGGGAAAGGCAGATGGCAAATAAGACATTGGAATAACACGAAGAAGTTTTGGTGAAATTGACGGTAGCCATGCATTATTTTATTTTACCTGTAATGTCAGGTGAGGAAAATAAAGCAACCCTCCTTGAACTTGGAGTAGTGGAACCTTTAACTAAACTGCTCACCCATGAAGACAAAATTGTAAGAAGAAATGCCACTATGATATTTGGAATCATGGCTTCTAATAGTAAGTAAAGATTTTTTAAAATAAATAATCTCATAAATGCCTTGTAAATTTAATGTTAAGATATTTATTTTAATTTTATTTGAACTAAGGTTAATGTTAACAAAAAAGTTAAGTATAATAAGATGTATCAAATGTATGATTTCAGTCTCGCCCGGCTAGCTCAGTTGGTAGAGCATGAGACTCTTAAATGTATGATTTCATATTTTAAGGGATATTTTTAAAATATAAAAACATGTGCAAATACTCTCCAAGTTGGTGATGTTCCAGAATTACCAGTTAGGAGAACAATTATTATTTTTTAAAATTGAAATAGTTTTTTTTTCTTGAGTTAGTATAATGTAATTTGTCTGACTATATGTAAATTACTCTTCATATGTATTTCATAGTGAAGGAAAGTCAGGGTAAAGAGTTTTGATACATTTATTTTTTGAAGTCACAAATTATATTTTTGCCAAAAAAAATTTCAGACATGCATTTAAATCAGATCTATTATTTGTTTGAATATTTTCATATATTTAATAGGATGGAATAATAATATTAGTTAAAATATGCTATTATGTTTATTAGAATTTCAGTTTGACCAAAATCATGCAAATAAAAGCAGTCTCTCACTAATGAACAGGGTAAGTTTTCATGTGTAAGTCATTTTTATGCTGTAATGGTAGGTTTCTGAGTTACCCAACAAAAGCTTTGTAATTATAATATATAAAATGCGAGGGTCTGTTACAGCCAAAACAACCGGATGGATGACTGAACAGTAGGCTGTGTGGGGCAATCAGGCTGGCAGGGGGGCAGTGGGGGTGACCAGGCCTGCAGGGGGTCAGATGGGGGCGACCAGGCTAGCAGGCAGGTGAGCGGTTAGGAGCTAGCAGTCCGAATTGTGAAAGGGATATCCCGGATTGGAGAACCCTGTGCACGAATTTTATGTGCCAAGCCTCTAGTTTATAATAAAAAATTACAATACATTCTTGGTAGAGACTGAATTCTAACATGAACCTCAGGATGCTAGGAATGAACATGTCTCTATTATAGCACTTGGCTAAAACTATCAGACTTTCTCCCTGTGTATATACTTTCCCCCAATGTTCTGCCCTCCTATTTCTCCTTTTCCCTGGACACTGTTGAAAGCAGTGGCGTCTCCTTATTGAGTGGTGTCCAGCAGGACCATGGCCTGAGTGTCTTCAGAGACAGTTGTGAGTGGAGGCTAGGGAGGTAAGGGGGAAGAAAGCTTTGTCTGGCATCTGTGCCTTTACCACCTCAGCTGCGGAGACTACAGGAGCAGCACCTGTGTGGGGGAGAAACTGGATTCCATCGGGAATTTTGGTGGAGGGGTTCTGGCAGCAATTGCAGGAATTCCAAATGGTGGCTGAGGTGGGCTCTGGGCATGTTTCTGGGGGTGAGAGCAGGATGAGGACAGTTGTGAGGGAGTAGGTGTTCCATCAACTTGGATTATGATAACATCGGTCAACACAATGTAGTACTTACCAGGCATTATTGTACGTGCTGTTTATGTATTAAATCTCTAATGAGGTTGGTGCTATTATTTTTTCCTTTACATATGAGGTAGCTGAGGCACAGAGAAGTTAAATGGAGTAGTAATCATTTATATTGCGGGGACTTTGTAAACTTTTCTCAAGGATTGCCATACTGAATGTGCTGTTTTGAATGTATTTATAGCCAAAAAAAGGAAAATTAAAATTTTTCTTATGTTTTTATTCTGTTTACACACTACATAATTTGAGAACCAAAGGTGCTGTGTAATACCTCTTGTACAACTCCTCATTTTAAAAACAAGAATTATCCCTAAAGGATTAGGTTCCTGGCCCAAAGTCATGCAGGTGGCTATTAACAGAACTAAGATTAGTTTTAGAATTGGAACTTTACTCTCTGACTCATAGTTTAGCAGACGTTTTATTTACCAAATATTTTATAATCCTTAACTTTAGTGTGAATGCTAAGTCAGGTTCTCCTTCTAAATGATATTGGAGAAGAATGCATATCATTTGGAAAGGAGAATTATAATTTATTGTTTATATTTATATTTTCTAGTTTAATGTCTAATCCTCTATGACTTCTTCCTGCTTACTTAGCTCTTAATTTCTGTTCATTTTAATTTGAGCACGGGGGGGCAGGGGTTGTCCCTCAGCCCAGCCTGCACCCTCTCCAATCTGGGACATCCCTCTCACAATTCAGGACTGCTGGCTCCCAACTGCTCACCTGCCTGTCTTCCCGATTGCCCTAATTGCTTCTGCCTACCAGCCTGATCACTCCCTAACCATTCCCATGCCAGCCTGATTGGTGCCTAACTGCTCCCCTGCCAGTCTGTTGCCCCTAATTGCCCTCCCCTGCAGGCCTGGGTTCCCCTCAACTCCCTTCCCTGCAGGCCCAGTTGCCCCCAACTGCCCAAACCTTGCAAACCTGGTCCCTCCTAACTGCCCTCTCCTGCTGGTCATCTTGTGGGCAGTCATCTTTGACCATATGGGGCAGCCATCTTGTGTGTTGGAATGATGGTCAATTTGCATATTACTGTTTTATTAGATAGGATAGAGGCCTGTGCATGGTTGGGGACCAGCTGGTTTTCCCTTACGAGTATCCCAGATCAGGGTGGGGATTCCCTTGGTGTGTGCGGTGGTCTGGGCGAAGGGCCTGTTGTGGTTTGCAGGCCAGACACACCCCCTGGTGACCCAAGCGGAAGCCCTAGAATCTAGGATTTATTTATCTTCTATAATTGAAACTTTGTAACTTGGAATGGAGGCCTGGGCCAGCCTGGGCAGGTGGAAAGCTTAGCTTCTTCCATCTCTGGGAGCAACTCAAACCTCCTGCTCTCTTCAGCTCTGTGGCTGCCATCATTTTTGTTGGAATTTATTTATCTTCTATTGTTGAAACTTTGTAGTATTGAGTGAAGGCCTGGGCTGGCAAGGGCAGGTGGAAAGCTTGGCTTCCTCCATTGCTGGGGAAACCCAAGCTTCCTTCTTGCTCTCCGTGGCCACAGCCATCTTGGTTGGGTTTATTTGCATATTTGATCCTGATTGGCTTGTGAATGTGGTTTGTGGGTGTAGCAGAGATACAGTCAATTTGTATATTACTGTTTTATTAAATAGGATTCTCATGTTCCAATATATAAGAAGTTTATAATCTGGGAAGCCCTTCAAACTGGTTGCAAACTCTTTTTCTGAGCAGATTTATAGAAGTAATTTCATGAGTTTCTAAAGGAATCTGTGACAAAAAAATATTAAGAATTATTGTTGCATTTAGGTACTAAATGAATTGACTTTCTTAGACCTACCAAGCCATATTCTGTAAGCTGGTTGCTAGACAAGGACCAGTGCTAAGGGCCAGTGCAATCTGCAACCACCAAGCTTAACAATGGAAAGAACTTTACTGCCTTCAAGGTCTCCATTGAATGCTTGAGTCTCAGGTATGCTGAGTGAACTTCTAAGAGCTTTCCATTGATTCTATGAATTGGGTAAAAAAAACAACACACACAAACCAGTTTGGGGATTAACTGAACTGATTTTTTGTCTGTTCTATTGTGGACACAGATTAAACACATGGCATCCTCAACTTCGTGTGAACTTCCTTTTTTGTTAAGAGAGCCATTATCAGCTATTGCTTCATTTTCACACATGCCCATGGAAAACTTAGAACAAAAAGTAAGCAGTCATTTAATCTCAATGAAAAGTCATGTTTCCAGAATAATCTCTAAATACACAGTTAATTTATCATCTTTGGGAAGTCTTTAAAAAATGGCCGATTCTTCAGAAATTTGACTCTTCATACCCTTTTTATGCACTCAATAATATAACTATGTTCATAATGGATAAACCAACAGAAGTTTCAATAGAATTTCAGGTGCTAAAAGGATTGCTATGAGAGCCATCTTTCTCTTTGGCAGTTGCAAACAAATTCTTGCTTCTTTTTTTTCCCTAGAGTGGTTGAGCTGTGTGCCTATGCTAAGCCTGAGTCATTTGAGACAGGCACATAAATTACTTTGTTAAACATTTTTATCAAAATGGAGCTGCTGTCTTTTTTTAATTGAAAGTTTGTATTTAGTTTGATGAGGCCTTATAACAGAGACTTATTTAATGAAGTCAATTAAAGAGAGAGTTCATCAGGATCCCTGTGAGAAGTAGCCTTCGAAGCCTAGACTTTGTATCACTTTAAGGCAATCTGAAGAGCTTGCCATTTTAGAAAAAGGTTGATGTAAGCATATACAAGGTCAAGGATAAATTAGAGGACCAATATTATGCAACTAACAAATTGTAGGGAAATCCAAGATAGCAGCAGAGTAGGTGGAAGCTATACTCACCCCTTTCCAGGACCAAAATGGAATTACAACTGAATTTTAGAACAGTCATCATGAATAACCAACTGAAGACTAGACTGATAACGAAGAATTTACAGAAGAAGCCACATTGAGCTTGGTAGTGCTGCTGGTGCCAATAGGGCTCGTCCACAGGGTCATGAGAAAAGCATTTCAGTGGCCCATACAATAAGAATGAGATGTACTATGGTCTGTTATTGGAGTAGAAATGAAAGACTGTCCCCAGATTCCTGGTATCTCATCTCCATCAATTCTGCAGTGGTAGAAGGGCCAGGATCCAGAAATTCTGTGCCTCACATCAGTCCCTGACAAAGTTTAGTCCCATTCACTCTCTGTCCCAATTCTTCTAGCTTAGTCTCTGAGCTCAGCTGCATTCAGGCTGGCGCTGTGCTGCTGTACCCAAGCCCACACACATGCCCAGGTGGCAGGATCCATCCCCAGAGAGGGGCATGCAGGAAGCAGACAATCAATGATAAATGTTTCTCTCTCATCCATGTTTCTATCTCTCTATCCCTCTTCCTTCCTCTCTCCAAAGTCAATTAAAAAAATTCCTTAAAAAAAATATTTACAAACCAAATCCAGCAATATATTAAAAAGATCACACACCATGACCAAGTGGGATTTATTGTATAATATTCACAAATCAATAAACATGATACTACAGAAGTGAAACGAA